AAGCTGGGAGAACGGAAGCTCGTGTTGCAGAGGCAGTGATGGGTAGTGGCTGTGTTCTGAGGGAGGCTTGGAGTGAGAGGGGGACGGGGAGGGATGCTAAGTTGTTCAGATGTGCTGAATGCTGTCGTGTTATTGCTGCTAATTCACGCTCGTGTTAATCGGCTGCCTCCGTATTCCAAAAGCCATCTGGATCTATCATGACAAGAATTTTAGTCATGAAACCTGAAAGTGTGAGCATCACCCCGTGCTTTAGAAATTAGGATTCATGGGTTTGTTTGTTTTTTAAATGTGTAAAGACTAGACTGTATCCCAAAACCCAATTAAGAGCATTCGAAGCAAATATTCTGCAGCTCAACAGCAACAACATCAAGATATTGTTCTGTCTGACAGTAATACTAATAACTCTGTGATACAGAGCCTGCTAGTTCTGTCTACACTGTCTTCTCAAATGGAGACAGACAAGTTAAGTATGACAAACTGATGGCACGGTCTCTTTCCTCCTGAGTCCCCAGTGATGATAAATGCAGCCCAGAGCTACTGCTGCTGCTGCTGAGGCGACTTCATGACAATGGAGAGTCTACAGGCTTTCAAGCACTGTCACAATACCACTCTTTTCTACAGTGATTTAGTACTCAATTTGTCTCAATATTTTACTCAATAGGACAAGATAGCAGAAGTGGGTGCCCTTTTCTACCCTTAATTCAGAGTGTTAAGCTTTCCTCAGCTAGACATATATTACTGTGGGGGTTGCCCAAAGAGACAGTTCCTTCCCTTGTTGGGGGTACAGTGTCCTGTGCAGCTCAGGCAGTGAGCAGCAGAGTATCAGTGTGTCCTCTGTGGGCCTGTCATTCAGATGAGGCATCGCAGCTCCCTGGGTCAGGATGGGTTAAGCAGCATCTGTCATCCAAAAGAACCACCATTGTATTAAGGGGAGGGTGGCAACAGCCACCCCCTCCTCCTCTCCCCATCCCACCCCACACGCATCGTTCGACTCCGCACCTCTCTCAGAACAACAGGAAAGACTCAGGAGAATCTCTGGGGCTAAACTTGACCCGAGCCCGGAGGATGAGGAAGCGCTCGTGACATCACTGCTAACCCGTGTAGACCAGAAATAACTTTCCTCTCCAAGAAAACCTGCAGCCACTGAGCAAATGTGGCCCCCCCCTGGGGAGGGGTCACATACACAAACACGGTAGGCGTGGACCAAACTGTGAGTTTAAATCTTCACTTGTGCCACTTCCTATAAAAACAGAAGTTCTACCAGAGTGTGTTGTCTTGCGGCAGGAAACGCAGCCATGTGGTGCACAAACACTAGAGCAACTTTTTTTTCCCTAGGTGTCGCAGGCCTACACGACTCATTTTGACAGATTTCAGGATACTGTGTGCTTATGCAATCAAGCAACGAGCCGCTATAACAAAGTGTTTGGAGCTGTAAACACCGAGGCTTTCTTTGGTAACGCGCCTGGATGTCCTGCTGTGTCAAGTCTCGAGCCTCTCTTCGAGATCCATTTCTTTCCTTCATCTGTTGCGGTATCTATTTAAACGACAGGGGCTCACTCATGACATGTCCCTTCATCTTCCTCGGGAGGGAGACACATGGACGGATGGATGCATGCCTACAGTAGACTACTGTGAGCTGCCACTTAACAGGAGGTGTGTGGGCGAGTCTGCCCATCTCCCCTTTTAGAAACAGCATTATTTGCTTGTTCTGTAGCAGATATAGCTGGTTTCCTTGCAGGAGGCACATGTGACTATTCCTCCACAAACAATAAAAAAAAAAAAAAGGCAGCTATCTCAGGCAGCAGACTGGTGGCTTTTCCTGCTCTTTAGCACAGATTCCGCTGTTTATTGTGCGACTCTCCTGACCTGCAGGTCGTAGAAAGTGTGGTCCACGCTAGAGTCACGAAAATCTGTAGGAAATTTTTGTCTCATCTGCAATCTACAGTACAGAACTGTCATTCAAAGGGCCAAAATGAAAGAATGCGTAACATATAGCACAAATAAATAAATAACAAATCTTTTATAGTATTTTAGCAAAGATTGTGACCATTTAAAGCTTTACAAATAAATGACAGCTCTCTCCTTTGCCCTGAGGACTGATCAAATCCCCCTCAGGCAAAACCTTTATTTTCTAGGAATCAGACAAAAACAGCACAAACTGAACTTCGGGAAACTTTGTCAAAAAAAAGAAGAAAAAAAAGGAAATTTATTTATATTTAGATACAATATTCAATACAATATATAGACTTAGTAGCACAAAAAAGATGTGCAGAAAGAAAAAGGCACAATACATCATACATTCGTTACCACAACCCCTGATTTTTAAAAGCTGATCAGAACCTTTAAACACTTTTGTTAATATCATTGTTTTGAAGAATAGCAAACGACTGATTTAAGATTTTTATTTCCCTCTCTCCACTGGGTTCTTGTTTTTTGTTTTTTTTTTGTTTTTTAAATTCATACACACATGAGGAATCATTCAAATGAACTTTGAAACACTAATTACACTGTTTGCTCAGAGACATATGCATTCATGACCGTAACAAAGACAAAGGTGGCTCTAACACATAAAGACGATAAAAGGGAACAGGCTACATTATCTTTGTAGCCTCAAATCTTTGTCTTATT